TATTTTTTATTTTATCGTATAAAAACTAAAATACTGCTCTTTTAGGTTAGTTAGGAACGATCTCCGCGATTTTTGAAAGWTTTCACGTTTTCCACGCGCTCTCCACACTTGTAACAGATTTGTTGCAATTCAGCGCGTATTCGACTTGTTGAAGTGTTTTAATTGCTGTTCACTATTTGATTTTCGACTCTTGATTTTGTYTATAGTTTCATCACTCGCTATGTTGGGCGCGCGTTGCTGGCAATTTCAGGTATTTTATTTGTGCCAAAATCAATTTGTATGGCCGCGCAAATGGGATTTCCATTAATTTAGAAAATCACTGCAATTTCACTTAACACAACTCAAAACACTTTCGAAACTTTAATTTTTTTTTTTTCACTTATATTTACTGTTACTACGTTTCCTTTGGCTCGCTTGTGGCTGCTGCTGCGCGCAGTTCTTTTATTGCTTTTGTGAAAGCCTGACGGACAAGCGCAGCGATTTTATACCACTCTCGTCTCGAACACCAAAATTTCGATGACCACTAAACGTGACGAACCGCAGATTAGCCTGATTTACTGATTTTGCGCTGGCAGGCAAAGCGTTTGGGCGGAGGAAATTCGCGAAATTCAGTCACAATGAAAGAATTTTTTGTTGCCACTCATATATTTTATATATATTCTCAGCGCAAGACAGTGTGAAAGTCTAAGTGTTTGTGTGCGTGTGTCTCTTTATTTTTCTTAAATTCGGCTAACTTTCCGCTCGTTATGTGTATGCGCTTTTTATCAGCCGCTTGCACTTCGAAACCTCTGCAATTATTCCTTGAAGTGTCGCATGTAAATGACCGACCGTTGTGGCTTTCGATTGATAGCGCTCGCTGCAGCACGTCCCAGACGATTGCTTTGGCGTGCAGTTGAAATATTTATTGCTAAAAATTAATGAATTACTTATGTATGTATTTAAGCGTGTGTGTAGCAATAGCTCGCCACGAAATTCACCAATTAAATTAGAAAAGTAAAGATTTTGCGTTAATTTTCTAGCTCTTTGTCGTCTAGAACAGTTACGTTTGTCTCACTATAGCGCGTCGAGTGTTTCACGAGTTTTATTTCGAATGGAATCGAACCACAGATTTTACTAAGATTATTAGTGAATGTGGAAAAATAAAACTAAAGAGTTATAAATACAGACCCTGTAAGAAAAAATAAGTGTTTCTTGGTTTTAATTTGTTAAAAAATTTTTTTATTAAAACTTCTAGAACTATAATGAAACTAAACTGAAAAAAAAATTTGTTTACTATTTTCATCACRTAATTATGCTTAAGTGTACSGTATTTGTTACTYCATTTTTCCCATCTCAACCGCCATYCGGYCTGTACCTGACAWKAACTTTTTTTGYAATTTGGTAAACAYCTTATCAAARKTTG